TTCGATGTTTGCATGCTTTTGCGCAAGGCCACTTTGAAGCGCTTGCGCGTCGGCATTGTTCCGTTGACTGCAGCGGGCGTACGGCATATGTTGCATGTACGAGTCCAGGTGAAGAAGAATGGAGCTTGTTTAGCTTTGGCCACTGCGCATTGCACGGCAGGCAAGGAGGAGGTAATGCAGAGGACAGCCGAAAAGGATGTGACTTGGAGCGCAATAGAAGCTTTAACAATCGATGGTTGTATTTTTGCAGGGGATACCAACATGCACGCCGAAGAAGTCATTCCGCAGCAGTACCGAGAACAATGGGATGATGCTTGGGAGGTGGACGGCGCTAATGCAACTTTGTCAGGCACATGGTGTCAAGATTGGATGGAGACGACGCACCCACTGGTGCAATCATGGCGCTTTGATCAGTTTTTCTTGCCAAGTTATTTTACCGTAACGTCCCACAGGAAGCTGTCACTGATTTGTCGGACAATCAGAAGGAGCCTGCCGGTGTTGATGCTGCTGTGACTTTTCTGTCCGGTATCAACACCAACCCTGTAGGAGCCGCATCGAGTTCGGATGCTGCTGTGACTTTTCTGTCCGGCATGCACCAGCAGTCTGCAAGCAATGTGTCAGCAGAGCGGCGACGCCTTGGAGGAGGTCAGAGTCAGAGGTCAGTGCGGTTGCAGAGTTTGGCTTTAGTCAAAAACAGTTTCGAACGTACTTGGGGAGTGGGTTTGTCGGGCCATGCTTGCATTTCCAGTTGTTTTTTGGTCAAGGCAGGAGCTGTGGAGGAGCAGTTGCCACAAGCAGAATATTTGCGCATGGTGCGTCCAGGTTTAGGAACTAAAGTGGCTCGGCGCCCGGCCGAGAGCGAGAGCGAGCACAAGACACAGTCCTTGCCATTTTGCAGTAAAGATTACGAAAAGGCGCGCATGCCTCCCGGCACTGCGGTCATTTTGGAAGATGCGAGACGAAAAGGTTTGTATCGTCTCTACACACGTAGGAATTGTCATCATGTGAACACGCATGATCCCTTGAAAGCCATTGGCTTGGTGGCAAACGTGGATGATCAAGTGGTGTTGACCATTCAAGCTGCCATCAATTATTTGACAAAGTATATGGGTAAGCTTGGCACAGGCCATACGGCGACCAGCCGCATTGGCGGCTTGTTGGATGACATTTTGTGCCGCATGCAAGATCATGAAACCATGACAGTGACGTCTCTTCTGTCTAAGCTTTTTATTCACACAGCCGTGCCAGATCGCAGCTGCAAGTCGTCGGAGGCAGCAGCAAAAGCGCAATGCCGCAGAAGTGGGCGGCGTCCGGCAATCTCGCTGAAGTATCTGGTAATCGATTTCCCCAGCTATGTGGGGCCTTGTATGGTTGAAGGACGCCCAACCTAGTTTGCATCGGTCCACAGCAGATTCGCCATGAGCGGATGCCAGCATTGTCCCGGACGCAGTTCCCAGTCGTTCTAAGTTACGGGATGACAGTGCACAAAAGCCAAGGTCTGACTTTGAAAGAAGGTTGTGTCTTTGACCTGGAACACGAACCCACCTGGCAACCTTTCCGAAGCATATGCGGGTTGGCTTTTGTAGGTTTGTCTCGTGTTACAGATTTCTTGTACATAGCTTTTCGTCACGTGCCAGACTATTGGGTTTTTCGAGCAGTCGCCGACACACCTTTATTTCATTGGCGGTCCGGTTTGGAAATGCAGTTAGAAGCACGATGCCACCAGCAAGCGGCAATTTTTTGGAAAAGCGTTATTTGAGGATGAGTTCGATCGTCATGTCCTTTGGTCGGAGACGACAACAGGGTCTCCCATGTCTCCTGAAAACAAAAACTGATTTGATGCAGATGCTTTCAGTTCGCGGCGTCCTGCCCGCGCCAGGGTACACAAGACAAACCGCAGAGACTGCCAGCAAGCAAATTGGGCGGTGGACGGAACAAGAGACGCACCATGCGCGGTTCCAATGTGGTAGCCGATAGCAGTGCAGCAGCTGCATCGGAAGAAGATGATCGAGTTTATGAAGACATGTTGACTGAGAAACAGATGGAGCAAACTCGTCGAGACAAAGAGGAGGCTGCTATTTGGGCAGAATTTTGCGCCGAGGAAGCCCGTGATCCGCACTGCGATCCGACATTTGGGAAAACACCTGAAGAAATCCAAATGATGTTGGATGAGGTGGACGAGGATGACAGGTATGCTGATATGGGATACTGAAATGCCTTGAAGATTCGTGTGTGTGTGTGTGTCTTTTCTGACAGCCGACCAAATGCTTGCAAAGAAGAACAATATTCATGATCCATATGTTCACTTGAGGTACCGAAACAGCCCGACGCTTTGTGTGTGCGTGTGTCTTTTCTGACCGCGAAAGAAGAGGTGCTTGCTAAGACAATTGTCCTTGTTGTCCTTGTTTGCACGTTTTGTGGGGAGGCGCCAGGCTGCAAAGTCGTGGAGCGGAGGGCGTCACTGGGTGCAGCAGGGAGGGGCTGCACTCTAGTGGAACCACTTGTTACTATTTTGCTGCCACTGTTGCATCCGATGGTCGCTTGTGTCTTTTAGATCTTAGCGCCATGTGTCTTTTCTGACCGCGCAAGCATGGAATCGCAAGTCAATGAGTCACGGGATTTTTTGTCCTTGTTTGCACGTTTTGTGGGGAGGCGCCAGGCTGCAAAGTCGTGGAGTGGAGGGCGTCACTGGGTGCTGCGGGGAGGGGCTGCACTCTAGTATTTGAACCGCTTGTTACTATTTTGCTGTCGCTGTTGCATCCGATGGTCGCATGGTGTCTTTTAGATCTTAGCGCCGTGTGTCTTTTCTGACTGCGCAAGCATGGAATCGCAAGTCAATGAGCCACTGGAATTTTTGTCCTTGTTTGCACGTTTTGTGGGGAGGCGCCAGGCTGCAAAGTCGTGGAGCGGAGGGCGTCACTGGGTGCAGCGGGGAGGGGCTGCACTCTAGTATTTGAACCGCTTGTTACTATTTTGCTGTCGCTGTTGCATCCGATGGTCGCTTGTGCCGGTAGACCGTAGAAAAGGCATCTTCACAAGTGAGTGTGTGTTTTTCGGAACACAGAAAGCAAGAGGTTTAAGTTTTGTTGTGATTATTTTGCAGAGAAAACACCCAACAGCAAAGCGAAGGTGCCCAACGAGACTTTGGCATGCCCTAGTTGCACAGCCGACTGCGACTTTTAGACCCTAGCGTCGTGTGTCTTTTCTGACCGCGCAAGCATGGGATGCAAGTGGAATGCGTTTTCTCCGGCTGTTCCAACGTCTGCACGTCAAAAAGTTGGATTGCGTTTTTTCTGACCTATCCAGCTTGCCGTATCTGTTCGGATTGTCTTCGCGAAGCAAAAGCTGTGACTTGCGACTTGGTGACATGGTCTTCCCGGATCCGGATGGTGCGTAGGGTCGTGTTGTGGTAGTTAGTACTTGTTGGGGCAATCGGGTCTGAAATGGCATGAGGGTTATGATATGTTTGTGCTTCATTCTAGAATTTTGGTTTCCGCAACAACGACCGCTACTACTGTTTTCTTGTCTACACTTTCCTCCTGGGTGAAATGAATCCCCGGAAACAATGTTTAGTCGATGTCTTTTCGAGATCTTGAGTTTATTATTAGTAACATGCATGATGGGGCTGTATTATGTTGTGTTAAGGGAGTATAGCGGTTACATGGGGGTATCTACTGTGACACTGTAGGACGTTTTGAAGCTTGGGTTCATGAACATGTGTGGATTTTATCATGAAATGATGGCTGTCCCTCAAATGATGTTGATTATCATGACGGTTCTAGGCTCACTTTTCACGATTTCTTTGCGATGACTCGTGGTGAAACATTTTAAAGTATGTTTGGAATGACCAGGTTTTCTGACAGCGGTTGTTATTGCACGGGTGAAGTTCTTGATTCTTGGCTTGCTCATTTTACTGATGTCATGATGACGCTTTTTGCTTCTCAAAGCTTGGCGCATGTGAACAATGATTCGATCAGTTTGTGGTACTGGTAGAACATGACATGGGTCACGTCGTCTAATGCAAGCAATTGTAGAAGACATATCAAAGCCATTAACAACAGGGTACGTATCATGAACATGGGGTCGTGGGTGGTATGTGACAATCATGTTCGGGTACCTCATGAGTAGGACTCCTGTCGCCAGATTGTAGTGCCTGTTCGAAGTGTTTTTTAGACTGCATCCCTTGCTTGCCATGTCGAATAAGCAGTTGCCTGCAACCATCGAGCCAAAGAAATGGCGCGCCAGAGATGGCAGTGACCGCGCGTGTGTCTTTTCTGACCGCGTCGGAGCCATCAGGAAAACGGGATACATGCAGTGATGCGCACCGCGTGAGTGCTGACTGCATGCGTCTTTTCTGACCGCGTCGGCCGGCAGCCGCGTGAAAGATCGGACACATGCAGTGACGCGCGCCGCGTGAAGCTAATGGCTTTGCTTTGACTCCTTCGCAATCATGTGACGTCATGCCAGACGTTTTTCCTAGCCATGGACAAGTGCACGTTTGGTTGGATAATTGATGTCTTAGCTTTCAGACCGTATCCATGCTTTCTCCGTGCCAGCAGTTGTCCATGCGGTGTGACTTTTCTGTCCGCCTTGAGTGAACATGATGGACCAGCAGGTCTACGCCGTGGAAGATTTCCTAGCAGATGGGCGCACAACCTGTCTGCAGGTGGGGGACACATGCAGTGATCCGCGACACTTTGACAGGATGCTTTCTGACAGGCTGTTTCCTGTCTCTCTATCTTCTTTGCAGCCCTTAAAGAAAAAGCTGTGTGTTTTTTCTGATAGCACAACGGCGCAGTGTCAAGTTGCCGTACCGATGTCGTTTGGTCTGCTGAGCAGATAAGATGTTAGATAGACAGCTAGATAGATAGATAGATAGATAGGTAGGTAGATAGATAGATAGATAGACAGCTAGATAGATAGATAGATAGATAGATAGATAGATAGACAGACAGAGAGAGAGAGAGACAGAGATAGATAGATATATGGATAGATAGATAGATAGATAGATAGATAGATAGATAGATAGATAGATAGATCTGTAGGTAGGTAGGTAGGTAGGTAGGTCGGTCGGTCGGTAGGTAGGTAGGTAGGTAGATAATCAGAGAGAGAGAGAGAAAGAGAGAGAAAGAGAGAGAAAGAGAGAGAAAGAGAGAGAAAGAGAGAGAAAGAGAGAGAAAGAGAGAGAAAGAGAGAGAAAGAGAGAGAAAGAGAGAGAGAGAGAGAAAGAGTGAGAGAGATCAATCACCTTTCTATCCATCAGTGGCTTCGCTCTGCCATCCCTGATTCACAACAACCAACCTCTCCTATAGGTTTCTTATTTTTGAAACTTCCGCCACCACCTTGTGCGGTACTACTGGTACTAGAAAGCTTGCACAAAGTACTCCCCAGTACTACTTTGTACTACGAAGCTTGCACAGGGCACTTCCCAGTACTGCTTTGTACCACAAAGCTTGCACAAAGCACGTCCCAGTACCACTTTGTACTGCAACGCTTGCACAAACCACGTCCCAGTACTACTGTGCACTACAAAGCTTGCAAAAAGTACTTCTCAGTACTCTTTGTACTACAAGGCTTGCACAAAGTATTTCCCAGTACTACTTTGTACTACAAAGCTGGCACATACACTTCCCAGCACTACTGAAGTTACTACTGTGCACTACAAAGCTTGCAAAAAGGTACTTCCCAGTACTGCTTTGTACTACAAAGCTTGCACAAAGCACTTCCCAGTACTACTTTGTACTACAAAGCTTGCAAAAAAGTACTTCCCGGTACTACCCTTGTACTACAAAGCTTGCGCAAAGTCCTTCCCAGTACTACTTTGTACTACAAAGCTTGCACACAGCTCTTGCCAGTACTACTTCGTATTACAAAGCTTGCACAAAGCACTTCCAAGTACTACTTTGTACTACAAACTTTGCACAAAGTACGTCCCAGTACTACTTTGTACTACGAAGCTTGCACAAGGCGCTTTCCAGTACTGCTTTGTACCACAAAGCTTGCACAAAGCACGTCCTACTTTGTACTGCGAAGCTTGCACAAACTACTTCCCAGTACTACTGTGTACTACAAGGCTTGCAAAAAGTACTTCCCAGTACTACTTTGTACTACAAGGCTTGCACAAAGTATTTCCCAGTACTACCTTGTACTACAAAGCTTGCACAAAGAAAGCTTTTACACACAGCAAGCACACACAACAAACTTTTACACACAGCAAGCGTTTACACACAGGAAACTTTTACACACAGTTCTTTTGCACATGGCAAGCGTTTACACACTCAGAAGCTTTTACACAGAGAAGCTTTTACATACAGCAAGCTTTTACACACAAAATCTTGTACACGCAGCAAGTTACAGAAAAAAGTTTTTACACAGAGAAGCTTTCTTGTATATAATGACAATAGGAATTGCAGCTCCAAAACCGGATGGATCTTGGCGCCAAAGCAAAAAAAAACACCATTTTGAAGCACTTTTTAAAAGGAATTTTACAAGGAAAATTGCTAGCACCAAAATGGAGAAAATCTGCTGACAAATCACTGTCGCAGCCTTGATACAGCCCTTCCAATACTTTTTACAAGATCCAGCTGCAAAAGACAATAGTATTGCGCATGCAGCCGCGGCACCAAGCAACCTTGACGCAGCCACTACAATGCGATCTGCAGACACTGAGTTGCGAAACACAATAGAACTACGCGCAACGGCGTCGGAAATTGCAGCTCCAAAACCGGATCTCGACGCCAATTGCGAAAAAAAAGACGATTTTGAAACACTTTTTAAAAGGAATGTTAAAAGGAAAATTGCTAGCGCCAAAATTGAGAAAATCTGCTAACAAATCACTGTCGCAGCCTTGATGCAGCCACTCCGCTACTATTTAGCTGCACAAGACAATAGTATTGCGCATGCAGCCGCGGCAACAAGCAACCTTGACGCAGCCACTACAATGCGTCTGCAAACACTGAATTGCGAAACACAATAGAACTACGCGCAACGGCGTCGGAAATTGCAGCTCCAAAACCGGATCTCGACGCCAAAGCGAAAAAAACGATTTTGAAGCACTGTTTTTAAAGGAATTTTGAAGGGAAAATTGCTAGCGCCAACCACCCGCTGCAGAACACAGAGGAGGAACCAATTCGCGCATGAAACGACCGCAGCCGCAACCGCCGCACACACGAGGTACCTTTCATCGCCGGCCGAAGCCACTTTACACAGAAA